CCCAAGCATCATCTCGCCGGGCCACAGCATTCTGCGTTACCCCACCAATCGGCTGGTATGGCAGCTTTGTAAGTTGTACAGATGTTCCAGGTTGCCTTGAGTCGACAGTCGAGCTACAGTGTTCCTCAGATTGGTGGCGGCGTTCGACGCGTGGACTCTTGCGCGTACGCACCGCCACTCGTTGGCTGGCCTGGCAGTCTTACACTTGTTGTGTCTTCGGCCTTTTGGGCTTCATTATCACCGGACTGCTGCTTGCGTTTCAAATTACCCACGTCGGGTTTATGTTGCGGGGGGTGTTGGCCGTTGCACGTTGGCTTTGCAGCGCCTTCCCTTTTTACCAAACCACCTTTGCATGGCCATGGCTGAGCTGTTCCATCCTGGCGCGTTCGATTATGTTCGTTCGCACTTGGCACCTCCACTTGCCGTCCGCGCCCAAGGTTCTTCTGCGCGGCCGACTCACCAGTGTGTGCGTGCGTGTGTCTGTCAGTGCGAGCGACCGTGCGTGCGTGCGTGCGTGCATGCGTGCGTGCGTGTGTGTGTACGTGTGTGTTGTGCGTGTTGTTTGTGTGTTGTGTGTTGTGTGTGTGTGTTCTGTGTTGTGTGTTTTGTGTGTTTTGTGTGTTGTGTGTGTGTGTTGTGTGTGCGTGTGCGTGTGCCTGTGTGTGCGTGTCTCTCTCTCTCTCTGTTTCTCCCTCCTTCTCCCTTCTCTCTTTTTCGTTATCCCTCCACCCCTGTCTTCTCTCCTCCGCCGACTGCGCCTCCCCCCTCCCCCTTATTCATCACGGTGCTCGGCGTGCTCTGGGCCGTCGGGCGGTGGGCCGGGCTGACCGGGGCCAAGGGCTCGCTGCCCGGCGCCAGGAAGAAGTTGCTCTCGCCTGGCTCCCCCGGCCGGGCCACGAGGCCTCCCTTGGCCTCCCCCATTTCCCCCACCCCTTCTGCCTCCTCCTCCTCCTCGAGCTCCTCCGCCTCCTCTGCCTCCATCCACTTCGCCGTCGCCACCGCCGTTGTCCTCCTCCACCTCTGCCTTCTCGTGGTGCCCGTCGGCCTCGTCCCTGCCCTGTTCCACCCATTTCTCCTCCTCCTCCTGTTTTTCCTCCCCCCCCCGCCGCCTCTTCCTCGTCCTCGTCCCCCGCCTCTCCGCCATCCTACCCCGTCGTTGTCCTCGCTCATCGTCGTCGTCCCTCATCCGCCTCGTTGTCGTCGTCGTCCTCCCCTCATCCGCCTCCATGTTTCGTCCTCGTCTCTTCAGTCTCCTCCGAACTGCTCCCGCCACATCTAGGCCCAGGGCGAGGCCCGACGCGCCCAGCGCGGCCCTGGCGGGCGGCGTCGCCTCCGTCGACGCGAGGCTGCTGCGGGACCCCGCATGGCTCGTGCCCCAGGCGCAGGGCCTGCCAACCTCCACCGAGAAGCCCTGTACGGTAGGTTGGCGTCGTGCCGACCGGCGGCGACCCCGGCGCTGTCGTTCAACGGTCAACGCCGTGGTCGGCACGACGCGAACCTGCCGTGCAATGTTGGATGACCGCGGGGGGGGGGGGGGGGGCGAATGGCATCGGGAGGTGACTCGTGGATGCTGAAGTGGCTTAGTGATAGGTGGCGTAAACCAGCGTATCAGTGGGTCAGACGTGCCCTACGTGGCTAAGATTTGGACCTGAGTGTGCTGCGCCCACTTCGCGGAGTTATCGAACCCACCCAAGCCATTCAGGGCACCTGCAACCCACTGATTACATAGTTTACGCCACATATGCCACTAACCTTAGCATCCTCTGGTAACTCCCCTATCCCCTTAGCACCCCCAGCGATCATCCCACCTAGCGCCACCAGCCTACGTACCCCGTCGAGGTGGGCTCAGACATGCTCGGGTCTTGAAGCAATCGCGACGGCAGGTTTATTTTCGGCCTTGGGGCCCTGGTCGGGCTCTGGGACAGTCAAACAAACCACTTGCGATGAGAAGCTTGCCCCAGGGAAGGGGTCGGGATCTCCAGAGGCCCACGCGGTGAACAAGCCAGGACGCCGGAGGCCTCCCCCCGAGCGTGAGGATGCCCCACAGCTGGACGGAGCGGGTGATGTACCCCGAGGGGCGCGGAGAGAACCACGCCGATGCAAGAAGTCTGCGCGGATCTCCGATAGTTTATGTGTATGTCAGGTGTTCGGGCATGGGCCCCTTGTTGATCGTAAGCATCCAGCTTTCACGCCGAAGACCTCGGGAAGCCGCCGAAGACCGCGGAGCACCCCCGAGGACCGCGGGAACTGGCCGAAGACCGCCGGAAGACCGCCGGGCGACCGCCGAAGGCCGCCCGAGGCAGACGGGCGGCAGGGGGTCCACTGTCGAATACGTAGCCTATGCAGATCTCTCCCCCAGAGCTCCCCTGCCTCCTCCCCCTCCTCCTCCTCCTCCTCCTCCTCCTGCTCCTCCTCCTCCTCCTCCTCCTCCTCCCCCTCCTCCTCCTCCTCCGCTCCTCTGCTCGACGAGGGGAGGCGCCTCGAGGCTCGACGGAGAGGGCCGCGGGTGCCCCCGGTGGGGCGCGGAGAGGCCCACGCTCCGCGCGTGGCGGCTATAGGGCCGCCGAGGCGGCCTCCTCCGAGGAGGTGCGGTAGAGATCACCAAGGCCACCGCGCACGGCGTGTCGCGCGAGTGCGCGAGTTCAGAGCCCCGAATCATCAGGGGTAACTCGGGTCAGGGATAACTCGGGTTCCTTTTTCGGGAACCCAAACCCGAGTTACCCCGGACCCGAGTTACCCCGGATAACTCGGGCGTCCAACGAGTGGCGGGGAGGCCGGACAGCGGGCCTGCACTCTGGTCGAATCTGGCTGTTCAGGGGGTCCTGGGGGCGGGGCGAACGGCTTGGCTGGCGGTGGGGAAGGGTGGCACGCAGCACGGGCAGCAGCGGGAGCACGAGCAGCCCGGAGCCGCGGCCAGTTACCTTACCCCGCTGACCGGAGCCCCGAAGAAGCCATATGTCATTTAGGCACACGTCCGATTATGGTATGGTAGACCCGTTCCCCACCTCCGCGTGGGCGGTCCCAGGTTGCGGGGTGGGTTTCGAGACTCCTCCCGCCTCTCCGCTCCCCTACTTTCTTCTTGTTGGTTTGGCTGCTGCGAAGAGCAAGACCGCAGACCTATGCGGCTCGAGCGGCTGGGTAAAACGGAGCGCCGACGCGCGCTGCCAGATCGGGGATGGAGAAAACACACACCCAGACAAGTCGACAGAGAAGATCTGCGCTGCTTCACTTGACGTTGGCATTCGAGTGCGCAGGTGTACTCACCACGGCCAGCTTCGCGTATCGACGTGCGTTTCGCCAGATACAGTCGGTTGTGTGGTGGACATTACCCCGCTGGGGTCCACTCGGAATGCGGTGACGAGCGCACGTGGAGGGCTCTAGGCAGCTTTCACTAAAGAGACGTTGTAATGAAAGGGGTGTTCTGTTAATTTTCGAACCTGGTGGGGGTAGGTCGGGCAGTCGGGCCGAGGCTTCCTGAGCGGGAACGCGGGGCAGGTCTGGGGATGTCCCTAGGAGTGGTCCGAGGGCCCAGGATGGCCTCGGCTTCCAGCCAGACCAGGGCGGCGTCAGATACCATCGGGCAGTTGTACGGGTGTGTGTTCGTTGGTATTATCGAAAACGCCTACGGCGAACCCCCGTCGCCCGCTGCCTGTAGGAATCGCCCGTGTGGCCGAGAGTTGTGGCAAGTGCTCTGCCAAGCTATCGGACCATGTGTTCCCCCGCCCGTTGGGAAGGATGGCAGGGGAGATCAGGAGGACGAGGCGGAGGAGGAGGAAAAAGGAGAGGGCGTCTTGGGAGCCTCTGGGGGCACTCTTGGAGCCTCCTGGGAGCGTCCTGGGAGTCTCTTGCAGGCATCTTGGGGGCCTCCTCGGGCCTCTGGGGGGCCTTGGGGGGGCTTCTCGGAGGCCTCTTTGGCAGTCTTAGGGCATTCCCGGCCCGTCTGACGCCATCGGAAGCCGCCTTTGGGGGCCTATCTGAGCCGACTTGTGGCCCTCTTGGCGTGCTCCAGGGCCGTCTTGGAGGCCATCTTGGGCGTCTTGGAGGCTTCTTGGGCTCTTGGGGCCGTCGTTGGGGCCTCTTGGGTCGTTCTGGGGCCATCTTGGCCTCTTGGGCGATCTTGAGGCGATCTTTGGGGGCTCTTGGGCCGTCTCGGACCATCGGAGCCTCCGGGGAGCATCTGGGGGCCTCAAAGGGATCTCTTGGGAGCCTCTGTGGGGCATCTCGGGGGGCCGTCCTGGGCCACCCTTGGGAGCCTCGAGTGCCATCTGATGGTCATTTGGGAGGTGATCGATCAAAGAAGGGGGAGGTTCCAACTTGTGGTCAAATACGGTGTGAAATCCATGATTTTCGGTTTCTCGCCGAGGCCATCTTGGACGCTCCAATCCCTCGCGAAAGGCCCCGTGAGGAGAGTGAGGGGTAAACCCCTTCCCGAAGGGAAAGGGGGAAGGTGGAAGAGGAAACTCCCTAAACCACTCACGCCCTGAAGAGCTGGTGGGATTTCTACCTTGACGTCCACTTCGTACGGTGTTGACTTCAGTGTACAATTCATTAGATGGTCATCGTTTGGATTGTCTGTGTTGCCCATCTTGTCAGGGGTGCTGTCTGGCCCCCCAGGCGAGTTGGAGGGATCATTTGTTGCTGCACATTCGTGGTGCTGCTGGTGGGGGCAAAGAGCTAGTGTTGCCCATCGCGCTCCTTATCTAAGCCTCGAAGCCGATCCACAGCAGATGCACCAAATAAGAAGCCAGCCCGCCAGAGGGTGCCCCACACGGTGGCCCCGTGGGCGCTCAGAATGTGACCCAATATATATATAGCATAGCAAGTTTCTTGATCGCATGTATGATTTGATTCGGTGGGTGACCCCGGGAGTTCCCCTTCTTAGTCCGTCGTGGATTTGCTGTTTTACCGTGAAGTGGACCACGCTTCTGGGGCGTGGCAGCGAGGCGTGAACGTGTGGAGCTGAAGTTTAGTAGTTGCACTGGCGTGCAAATTCAGTCATAATGAACTGGTGCTCCAGGCTGCCTCGTTTTAAACATATCTCCCATCGTGTGTCGAGGCTGGCCCTCTATTCGAAAAGCCGCACGCCCCGTGAGGTGACGCAGTTGTGCCGCTGCGAGGCCCGCAAGGCGCTGGAGCTCTACCGCGCCGCCCACCGCGCTGGCGTCGGCCTCGCCTCGGCACCGCAGGACAAGCAGTGAGCTCAGCTACCCCGGCGCGCCCGTTTGGAAGCGCAGCTTTTCCGTCGCAGCGCGGCATGGAGGCAATCCGCACGCGCGCCCGAGCGAAACCGGGGCACGGAGTCGCGAACTAGCCCGCATGCCAGAGGGGGAGGGTCGATTACACGTAAGAGTGACCCTTCGCCTGAGTGATCTTCGGTGCTGGCCCAAAGGGGATCGGGTGATTTTTTTTGGTGGAATGATCTTGACCTCGCGTCGGCACCCGCATAGCGTGATTACGCTCGCATCTGAGCGCCCCAGGTTTGGGCCCACCCCTTGCAATCGACAGCAACGCATACGCGTCGCACCCCGCAGCTTGCGTTGGTTACCCGAGGGGGGGCTGGTCGACCAGACGGCGCGTTTTCAGGCCCAGGACCAGTCTCGAATCCCACCCCAAATCCCAAAACGTCTGGCTTGAATATCTTTGGATATCTTTTGGATATCTTCGAATATCTGGGAATCTCTTTGGACATCGTCGAATCTGTTTTTCGAACCATCCGAAGATATTCAAACATACTCCAGGCGCTCGGATGGGGCCGGTTTGGGCCATGACGCCTGGCCTGGCCAGACGTCGTCGCGACGCAACCCGGCAGTGCCAGACTTCGTCGCGGCGTCCCCCGGCAGCGTCTGTTTTCGCAGCGCCTTCGAAGGGCCATTCGGGGCGCTCGAATTCAATCGGCGGCATTCCGCGGCTGCTCGCTGGCACGAAAAATCTTTCGAGTGGCACCCCGCCGATCGTGGATGCGGCGCGGCAGCGCCGGCTTGCGCGATTGCGTTGGGCCCCCACGGGCGCCCCTGAAACCGCGCACCAAAGTCAGGAGGGGAAAAAACACAGACACAATTAATTGTCGATTCCCTAGAAAATATTGGAAAATATGGGAAGTGGGGGGGAAGACAAAAACCCACAAAATATGAGAAAATATGGGGAACCCTTTTATTTGCGCTTATTTATTTTTGTGTCTTAGGGCCCCTACACAAAGGTCACTCCAGCCCAGGGTCACTCCCACGCGTAGTCGAGAGGGGAAGAGAGGAGGCGGCCGCAGGGGAGGGGGAACGGCGCGGGGGCGCAACCGTGCCGTGTGCAAAGCGTCTGGGTTGGACACGCTGCCTGCTGGCTCAGCACGTGTTGGCCCACGTTTTGGCTCATGTATCGCGCCAGCCTTACGTTTGCAATCCACGTTTTTTTAGTTCCGTGTCAGCACGCTACGGGCTGAGTGTTGCGAATCGGGCAGCTGAGGAGGTGAGGTTTCGGTTCGCGCGCAGACAGCACCCCCCCCCCCGAATGGCAACCCAAACCTCAAGCGCATCGAACAACACAGTACGGAGGTTTGTCGCGGCTTTCGACCTGTGGGGGCCCTCGCCGGTCCCAGGACCGTCAAAAAACAACTCGGGATGAGAAGCCAGCGCCGTCGGGATGACAGTGCAGACAGCTCTCGTGCCGCTGGCGATGCGATGCGACGAGAAGCCAGCCTCAGGGAAAGGCCTGGGATTTCTGGTGACCGCGCGTTGTACAAATCCAGGCCCGGGAGGGATGCGCCCGCAGGTGGCGCACAGAAGGCAGGCTCCCAAAGTAGCCCCAGCTGGCCTCAACAGGCCACCCCGAGCAGGCAAGGGCGGTCTCGCATCCCAATCCTAAGGCGCGGAGCGCCCCAGGGTGCACTGGTGAAGGAGAAGATAGGGTTCGACTGCACGTCAGAGTGACCCTTCGCCGGAGTAACCTTTGGGGAGGGCCCACTGCGGTCCCCCAATCGTCGAGCGCGATGTGGCAGTAGCGTCTTGCGCGCTTGTGTTTGGCCACCCCGCGTCCCCCGTGAAGCCGCGCACCAAAGCTCGCTCTTGCCTAGGGTCACTCTTGCGTGCAGTCGAAAGATGCTGAGACCGCCCCGGACTACTCATGGCGCCTGCTTATGTCACCCCGTGTCTGTTGTTCGCGCGCAACGACGAGTGCGAGCACAGTCTGATGGGCCTGTTTTCGACCACCGCCACCATAAGTTGGAAGCGGTAAGGAGGTAGAGGATGAGGAGGAGGAGGAGGAAGAGGAGGAGGAGGAAGAAGAGGAAGAGAAGGAGGAGGAGGAGGAGGAGGAGGAGGAGGAGGAGGAGGATGACCCCCCCCTCCCACTTATGGTGGTGGTGGTGGTGGAAAACAGGCCCCACACAGTCGAACCAAGAAGAAGCTGTGCTCCTACACGGTCGGAACTCCGCGAGGGTTGCTTGAATCGGCACTGGACCCCCCTCCCCTGGCGAGCGGAGCGCGCCCGGGGCCGCCCACGAGGCGCTGGTCCAAGGGGCTGCGGCGCCGGTCCAGGGAATCCGCGCGGGCCTCCGAAAGTTTGTGCTTGTGCAGTGTTTGCTGGCTCTAGCGGCTAGCGTTAAGTCGGGCTTGTCCCTCTACAGGAGGGATATGCAAAAAGAGTCCAAAAATAGTCAGTGCACTATTTTTCAGTATTTTCGAGCATTCAGGGAGCATTATTTGACTTAAAAAACCGCCCAAAATCCGCCTGTGGGGGAACAGGCCCGACCTAATGCCAGCAGGACGAGTGCGAGAACATGTTCCTGAGCATGATCACGGCCACCATACGCACCGGCCAAGCGGACGAGGCGCTGGCGCTGCTGCGCGACATGCGCCACCGCGGCCCCGGTGTCTCCGCCGCGCTATTCGGCTCGGCCACCAAGCTGTGCACCTCGAAGCAGCTGTACTCCGAGTGCCTTAGCATCTACACCTTCGCAATGGAGGACCTCGGAATAATAGAAAACTGCATAGCCATAAACTTTCGTAGCTCCGCGCGAATGTCGTGGATCTGCGCTGAGCCCTATCTGGTGGCGCCTCTGGCGCCGATCCAGAAAATTCGCGCGGACCTCAAGAAGTGTATGTTCATGTACTGTTATGATGTTCCAACCTACTTGAGCCTTGATCACTAAAAAGAATTTCGAGCACCAGAAAGGTACCGAAACTCGAGGGTTTTCACGTGTCGGGTCCTAGGAGACACTCGTCCGACATTGTCTCGACAGTGTTTCGACACTCTTTCGACACTTTTCCGGGTGCTCGAAATTATTTTTGGGATGTGGTCTTCCAGTACGATGGGAGCAACATACATGCATCGGCGCGATGGAGGACGGTAGGGCCTCGGGCTGCGCACAGACAGCCTCCCCAGACGGTCCTGGCTGGCCTCGACAGGCCCAGCCCGTGGGCGTGGAGCGCCCCAAGGGCAGCGCCAGAGGCGGCGCCAGGGTGTTGAGACCGCCGCAGGACTACTCCTAAGTCGGGCCTGTCCCTCTACAGGAGGAATAGCCAAACATAGTCGAACAATAGCAAGGGGACTATTGTTTGGCTATTTTCGGGCATTTGGGAAGAATTGTTTGCGTTGTTTTCCTTCTCCACCCAGAATCCCCCTGTAGGGGGACACGCCCGACCTAAGGGCAGCGCCGGAGGCGGCGCCAGGGTGTTGAGACCCCCCAGGACTATTCGGCGGGCTGAGGCTAGCCGGGACTAGCCAGGGGGGCTGTCTGTGAGCAACCCGAGGCCTTACCAACGAGAGGATGTCATTGTTCATCCTTTGGCGTGCAGTGGTCGCTGCCCGAGCCAGCCCACTTTTGCCAGTAGCTTTAGCGATCGTGCGGAGGGGGGGCCCAGACCACACCAAACATGCTGGTGCTCGCGCGCATATTGTGGCGGTCGCAGCCCATCCCCGCCCCGAAGCGCCCCATCGGGGTCCCGAATCCACCTGCCTCCTCGCCCAGGTAACGAACGCTGCTGGAAATGGTAGCAAGCATTCTTCGTCGGTCCGCGGTCGGCGGCGGAGGTCTGGGTGCGGAAGGGTTGGCGCCACCGAGGCGGGTGCCAAGGACAGGAAGGTGGCAGGGCAACGGCCGTGCCAGAAGTTGTCATCATTATCTGTAGTCATCTCTGGAGGACCCCAGCCTGAAGGTCGAGGACAGGAGCGTCTGGAGCTGCCTCCTCTTCTGCGCCGTGGAGACGAAGTCGTTCGCGAGCTGCGGGCACTTCTGGGAGCGCCTCCGGGCCTGCGGCGACCCTTCGTGCAAGGACTACGGCAACATGATCCGGTACGCCTCCGCCAACGGCCTGTGGAAGCTGTCGCTGTCCCTCGTGCAGCAGATGCGCAGGAGCCTGGAGGAGGAAAGGGTAGGGATACCGCTGCCCTTCCACCGTTTTCGCCTTGTTGGGCCTCGGAGGCCCTCGTTTCCATGGCTGGATTCCCTTCGGAGTTCTGGTCAGAGCGCACCCCAGGAGAGGTCGGGGGAGTAGCGGTGCGGGTACCCTTTGATGGTTGCCCTCAGGAGCGGTACCGATGTCGACAGCGTGACGTACAACACTTGCTTGGCTACTTGTGTGGCCGCTGACCGCGTGGACGAGGCCCGCGCGCTGCTGGACGAGATGGCGGAGGCCGGCGGCGTCTCCGACGCGATCACCTACAACACGCTCTCGAAGGGGTACGCGAAGGCGGGACGCATCTCGCAGGTCTTCGAGCTCTTCGAGCTGATGAGGGCGCGCGGGGTGGAGCCAACGCAGGTCACGTACGGCATCCTCCTTGACAGCTGCATCAACGAGAACCAGGTCGCCAAGGCGGCGGACGTCTTCGAGCTGATGAAGGCCAACGGCTGCGTGATGAACACGGTGCTCTATACGACCCTCATCAAGGGCTTCGCTCGGGACGGCCAGGTCGACAAAGCCATGGAGGTCTACGAGCACATGCGCTCGGAGCGCACGGTGCCCCCCGACCTCATCACGTTCTCGATTTTGATCAAGGCCAACTGCGACTCGGGCCGCTTAGACGGCGCCCTCAGGCTGAAGGAGGCGATGGTGGGGCTGGGCCTGAAGGCCGACGAGGTCATCTTCAACAACATCCTGGGTGGCTGCGCCAAGGATCAGAGGAGGAAAAGATGCCAATGCCGCTAGATCATTCCCTCGTCACTACGGCTGGGGTCGCCTCGAACTTCTGCTCGGACTGCACCCTAAGAGTCACCACCCACCAAACCACCCCAACCCAACCCAAAGGCCCCCAGTCGGGGAACATTGACAACAAAATACACATGAAGCCCGTACCACCCCCCAACCCGAAATTCGGGTCTACGGGTCGGAATGGGGTGGTCTGGTAGGTAGTCATAGAGATGGCCGTGGAGTAGCAGTATACGGATGTCTTTTGGTTTCCTCCAAGGAGGCGGACGCCGAGCTCGCGAAGAGCACGTACCAGGAGATGGTCGACAGCGGCGTAAAGCCTTCCAACGCCACCTTCTCCATCCTCATCCGGCTCTACGCGCAGTGCAAGTTGCTTGACGAGGCGGCGGACATGCTCCGCCGGGAGCCGGCCATGCGGGGCGTGGTCCCGGAGCCGCGGCTGTACTCGCAGCTGGTGCACTGCTGCCTGCGCGACCGCCACGGCAAGCGCGCCACGGACGTATACAGGATGATGCTCGAGCACGCCCCCCCGACGGCCTCGGCGCACAGCGGCATGCTCGGCATGTGCGTGAAGCTCAACATGCTGGACACCGCGGCCGAGATCCTGGCCATGGCGGCCGAGGCCGGTGGGCGGGTGGACCAGGCCGACGCCGAGCAGGTGCTGCGGGCGGCGCAGAGGAAGCGCAAGGGCCCGTGCGTGGAGGCCACCGCGGCCGCCATGGAGGCCCTGGGCCTCAGGCCCGCAGCCGCCTGAGGGAGCGCGGCGCGGGCCGCGGCGACCGGGCCGCGCGGGCCCCCGGGCGCCCAGAGGCTCGAGGAAGAGCGCAGTGCACAGGCCAGCGCCCCTGGCGGCACGCTCTTCGGCGGCGGGCGAGGGGGGGAGGGGAGGGGGAGAAGGCCTTCGCAGAGGGCGGCGGCACTCCTCAGGAGGCCTCGGGTCCTTCGATAGAGGTCTTCTGTCGCGTCTTCGGGGGAGGCCCGGAAGACTCCTCAGAAGGCGGCAGGGGGACTTCCGAGTCTTCTGAGAGGGCCCGCCCCTTCTCACTTCCCCCCCCGGGCGCGCCGCCCAGCTGTGCCCTGCGAGCTGACAGCGTGCTGTTCCGCTTCGCGGCGCGGGGGGGCGGGGAAGGCTCGGGACGTTGGCGCTCGGGGACGGGGGCGCGGTCAGCGTGTCGCGACGAGGCCTGGTGGGCCAGATTTGGGCAGGCAGAGACCTGGGGTCGGCAGACGTGGCCTTCCGGAGGTCCGCGCGGGATGGGGGCGTCCAGCGACGATCCGAGAAGTCCGCGCAGACCTCCGAACGTCTACAGGAGGCACATCACCTAAAAAAACAGTTGGGCCTGCTGGCAGGCGCCCCGCGGGAGTTTCGTCACCCGACGGCGGCCATGTTGCCGCAGTCGCCGCCTCGTCGCCGCCCGTCGTCTGGGACTGTCTGCCGGTCTGGCGGCTACGCTGCCGCCGTCGCCGCCCCGTCGCCGCTTCGTCGCCGCCCGTCGTCTGAGCGTGACCGCCGGATTGGCAGCTATGCTGCCGCCGCCGCCGCCCCGCGGTGCCGCCTCGTCGCCGCATAGAATGCGCACCACATAGATTGCGCAACATAGATGTCACCACACATGGTGTACGACCTGTATTGTAGAACCTAAAATGCACGACACATACTGCACCACATACGTTGCACAACACATATGGTACAGCATCGACTGCGCAACATAAATTCTCCTTTTTCTCAAAAGAGAATAGACTCTACCCCCCCCGGCGTTATCGGTACCCCTTTCGGGTATGTAAATCACATATGATTATGACCACATGTCCATCCTAAGTATGAAATGATAATGTCCCAGGCCAGCCGGTATCCCCCCCTGAGGATCCCTTGTAAAAAACACTATGCGGTGACATTGTTTGTTCTAACATAACACTTTGTCACGAAACCCTTTTGCAAAAAATGGGGCGAAGTGCACACGCGCGCGTCGTCGCGCGCGCATGCCGAAATCCTTCAAAAACCCTCGGTGCCGGAATGATTTCGCAATCGAGTTTCCCAAAAGCATGCAAAAACACAGGGTTTCGTAACACTGATTTGCTAAAAAAGCTTACGCGCGAGCCCTTGCGAAATCTGCAGAAAACCATCCTGGTTTTTCAAGGTTTCCACAACATGCTATCAAACGGGCGTCGCGCGCGCATGTCGAAATCTGTCGAACGCCCTTGCGCGTGTGCCGTCGCGAGAATCCTCTGCAAAAAATGGGACGAAGTGCAGACGCGCGCGTCGTCGCGCGCGTACGCCGAAATCCTTCAAAACCCATTGGTTTCGGAAGGATTTCAAAATCGCGCGTCCAAAAAAACTACAAAAACACAAGGTTTCGCAACACGGATTTTCAACAAATGCGCGCGCGCTCTTGCGGCGTCGTCGTCGTCGTCGTCGTCGTCGTCGTCGTCGCCGTCCTCCCTCCTCCCGCGTCGTCGTCGTCGTCGTCGCCTACGTCGTCCTGGGTTTTTCCTCGTGTTCGTCGTTGTCGTCGTCCTCTTTGGCGTCGTGGTCGTTTCCGTCGTCGTTGTCGCCGTGGTCGTCCTTCCTCCTCCTCCGTCGTCGTCGTCGTCGTCCGTCGTCGGCGACTCGTCGTCGTCCCTCCTATTTCGTCGCCGTCGTCGTCGTCGTTGTCGTCGTCGTCTCGTCGTCGTCTTCCCTCCTCCCTCGTCGTTGTCGTCATCGGCGTCGCCGTCCTTCCTCCTTCTTCGTCGTTCGCGTCGTCGCCGTCCTCCCTCCTCCCCCGTTGTCGTTGTTGTCGTCGTTGTCGTCGTTGTCGCCGTCGTCGTCCTCCCTCCTCCCTCGTCGTCGTCTTCGTTGGCGACGTCGTCGTCGTCGTCTTCGTCGTCGTCGTCGGCGTCGGCGTCGTCGTCTTCGTCGTCGTCGACGTCGACGTCGTCGTCGTCGCCGCCGTCGTCGTCGTCGTCGTCGTCGTCGTCGTCGTCGGCCGTCGTGCTTCTCCGGCCTTTTGGGGGCGCTCTTGAGACGCCCCCGAGGGCTCCAAGACGACCCCTGAGCGATATCTGTGCTCGGTCCCGCATGGGTTTTGCAAACCAAGTTGCGGGTGGGTGGGTGGGATGATTGCGCGAGCAGTGGAGTTGACAACTTCAAGTTCGGCAAGTGATTAGTTGCACAACATAGATTGCACAACAGCTATTGTACAGCATAGTTTGCACAACACAGGTTGCACCACCTACATGACACCATGCGGTTGCATCGCATAGACTGCGCACACGTGTATTGCACCACGCAGGTTGCACAACACGGTTTGCACAACATCGGCTGCACGACATGCGCTGCCCAGCATAGCACGCTAGGAACACACCGCTTGGGGTCCACGCTGGCGAACGTTCCTACGAGCACGACTCGTCGACGTATGTGTCTACTGCATGTGCCTGTGCAGCGTGCCCCTCTGTGGGGACGAGAGCACAGCCCTTGCTGACCACAGCGCCCCGGGCGCTGCCTGTGCAGCCTCCTCCGCTCCGCGAGCGCCCGCGCAGCGCCCCTGCCCTTCTCGACGCGGGCTCCCCGGTGATGCCTCCCCTCTGCGCCTCCTTGCGCTCCTTCCGCCTCCTCGTCCTCTTCCAGTATGCCCGGGGCCCGACGCGCCATGATCGGGGGAACGTGAGACTCGAGTAGTTACGCCGGAACGCGGGTTTGCCGACGTTCTTCGACGAGCGTGTCCTGGGCTTTGATGGCACAGTGTTCGTGGGATGTCTGCCGCGGGAGCTCGCGTCAAGTTTCAGATTGGGTCTCGTCATTTTTATGATGGCCCGGTCAGGCCAGCCCGAGTCCCCCGCACCCAAGTCTTCCGTCTCCCCGACATGACAGAAGTCACGACGGACGGTTTCGGGCCGTTTTCGTCGCCTGGAGGTCCTCACCAGACCCTGGGAGCGTCGAAAGACGACTCGGGATGAGAAGCTGGTCCCTGGGAAAGGGGCCGGTACATCTGGGGGTCTACTTTGCAAAACCATCACGGCATCGGGGGTCGGGGCATGGAGCACCCCTAACTGATTGCGCATCGCACGGTGGGTCCACTCTGAGAGCCAGGGTCGTACCCCCGATGCCGATGGCGGGTAGAAGCGAGCTCAGCGCAAATGTCGCAGGCCTAGAGGTTGACACCAATACCAATTTCGGCTGCGTGCCTCCACCGAGGGAAGAAGATCCCGACCTCGGTTACAGTGGTAAGATTATGGCATCCAAGGTGGTTGGCATCTTACCACCAACACCGAAATCTAGGATCATCTTCCCACTGTGGAGGCAACCTCCTGTGTTGGTGTTGGTGCCAATTTCCAGGCTTTAAAAGAGGAAGAGGTGATTTGGAGGGGTCGGATGTCAGAGATGTCGCCAGCGCACCTCTCCCCTCTCCTCCATTCCGCACTCCTCCGCGACAAGGTTGTAAGGCACTCGACCATGGACCAGATCCAGACAAACAAGACCGCGCATTGCCTGGTTTGGAGTGTAACTCGTGGGATGTGAAATTCATGACCGGCGCTGGTATATCCCTGTTCGGATCTGGCTGAATTCCCCAAAGTCTCGTTCAATCCGGATCCGGATTACACGCTGGTCGTTGAAAGGAGGTATTTATGGCTTCCCAAATCCCAATATACTTCAAGCGCCTTCCCACTCCAAGGGCCGATATGCTTTTGCTGTGCTTTATGTTTCCCTTGGGGGGGCCTGTACCCAATCTATTATATCCACCTTCCTACTTCATGCTTTTACCTAATTCTTCCGACCGGCGTGTAGGCCTGGGCCTAGTCCAGTCTAGCCAGTGGCCCCATCACTTTGCTCCAACGGAAAACCGCCCCGGGAGCTGTTCCCCAATCTGGTCCTGATTTTGTTTCTGTTCCTTTTTGGGGCGGGCCCGTCGACAGCGAGGACATCGTAACAGGACGCCGCTTGCTGCCCGTGGGCAGCCAGAGGACCCTCTTCCTCTGAGCGGCGCTGCTCGGCCCACGCGCGCGCGCCGGGCCCTGGCCCTTTGGGGTGCGCGCGCCGGCCGCGGCCTCCGCCCGACGACCCGTCGCTTGCGCGGAGCGGGGATTTTTTGATCATCCCCCGGCGATGGAAAGGCGTCACCGGGGGCGGGCAAAGGGGACGTCGGCCTGCCGCGTCATGATTCGAACCAGCGCCGTCTGGGAGTGTTCAGGAGTGGCGAATTCCGAGACGGCGCCTGCGCGAGTCGTGACGTGACCAGGGGTCGAGACTACACGCAAGAGTGACCCTTCGCCGGAGTGGCGCTTGGTGCGCGCCCACACGGGTCCCCCGATCGCCGAGCGCGGTGCGGCAGCAATGTCTTGCGCGCTCAGGTGCGGCCCCGCCCGCGGCCCCCCTGAAGCCGCGCACCGAAGGTCACTCATAGCCAGGGTCGCTCTCGCGCGTAGTCGAAAGGGGCGGGGGGGGGGGTGGGCTTGGCGGGGCCGGTCACGGGAGTCATTGCGAATGACATTGACAAACAACAAGCTATATCGTCTTCCTTCCCTCGTGCGCGCGTGGGCAGTAACACCCGGCATGGCTTCGCCGAGGACGTCGACGCGGCAGCGCTGTCTCGACGTTGCAAGCAAGCGCCCTCTTTTCTCCGCGGTATGGCGCGCTGGTGGCCCGCGTAAGCCGGCGAAGGGTCGCTACGTTTGCTCGCGCAAAACCCGTTTACGGTCACCGCTCGCGTGTATGCTGAGTGCACATGGTCTTGTCGAGTGGCTTTCGGCCCATCCCGCCACCGTGCCTGGGCTGTGGGTCAAAAGCTTTTTAGGATGTTTGCTGGAATGTCGCAGGAGGCTTCTCGTGGGCGTGGGGGCAGTTTGGGGGCATCCTGGGGGCCGTTTTGAGACCCCTGGGGCGTCTTGGAGGCTTGTGGGTCTTTCGGGGCCTCCTTGGGACCTCCTGGGCGCTTTCGGGCGGGAAAACAGGATTTTCGGTTCGTGTTTCTTCTTTGTTTTTTTTGGAAGCTGTCTGTGGGCCCTCTCGGGCCGTTTTGGGAGCCCCTGGGGCACTGTTGCAGCCCTTCTGGACCGTTTTGGGACCCTCATGGGAGCCTCCCTTTTGGGGCCGTCACTGGGCGGTCTTAGGGCTGTTGTGGGTGCTTCGAAAGCTTGTTTGACAATTTTGGATCCATTTGGGTGTGTTGGACCGATCGTGTGGCGATTCGAGGCCCTCTCAGATCGTCTGGGCGGCCTCCTGGGGCCCTCTTGGCCAGTCGGGGGGGATTCCTGGTCCCGAAAAATTCACGCGTTAACAAACGACGGGCCCCAGGTGGTCACGCGACGCACCACATGAGATTTGGTAATTGTGGGCCCGGGCCCTGTAAAGTCCTCAGGATCGAGGACACACACAAGGCACTCCAAATCGTGCCTCAACGAGACAATAGCGGATCATTCGCCAGCTGATGGGGGCCAGCCTTTTTGGGGATCCGATTCAGCGAAGTGCAACATGAGAAACAACATGGTCTGAGAGTCATAATGACCAGGGCAAGTAATGTCCAAACGATTGCGAAGGCAAGCCCACTGAAGAACAATTGTTTGAGACAAAGCTGGCCCCAGTCACGGAACAAGCCAAAAATTGAGCCCACCTTTTGCTGACCCCCCCCTCAACCCGGTGAGCCCCATTAACAGTCGAAAGACTTGATTGCGCTCATCTGCTACATTTGGGGCGTACCCGTCGACGCCAATGACATCGGGCGAATAAAAGTATGCACATGCACCGATCCTGGCCGGGCCCATCCTGGGCCCATGATCGGTGAATCTGCTTTCCTGGGCTCAGGATGGGCCTTGCCAGAATGCACCGATGCACCTATCCTGGGCTCAGGATGGGCCTTGCCAGAATCGGTGCGTGTGCATATTTCTCTTGCCTCTATGACATCGCAGTCCTCTTCCATCCCTCGCTTGCGCGTCGGCATCGGCGCATGGCATCGGCGCATAGGCGAGAGGGCGCCGACGCTGCAGCACCCTCTCGGCGCCGCAGGTGCTCACGCCCGCGAAGCGCGGCACGTTGCAGATCATTGACCTCCAGGACATGCGGCAGGCGCGGTCCCTCCTCCTCCTCCTCCTCCTCCTCTTCCTCCTCCTCACTCTCCTCCTCCTTCTCCTCCTCCCCGTCCTCCTTCCCCTCTTCCCTTTCTTCCTCCTCCTCCTCCTCATCCTCCTACCCCTTCTCCTCCTCCCCCTCCTCCTCCTCCTCCTCCTCCTCCTCCCCCTCCTCCTCTCATCTTTCCTGGTTGGGCGGGTGTGCAGGCGGGCCTCTGAACCGACCACCAGCTTGGGCAGGGCCCCTTCCCAGGCGAGTTCGTCGCTCAAGGATGGAGTCGAGGAGGCAACATCTCAGAGGCCAGCAACATATGTACACGTACGCGGTTAGTTTCCCCTGGAGTGCGTGTCGACGCGGACGTTCGTGCAGGCAAGACCGCGGAGGGCGTACATGTACATATGTCGTTACTCGCCCAACATCGGAGCACGCTCCCGAGCAAGGATCGCTCAGGGATGGGCGCCGCCGACGACGCTCACTCCCCATGCACGGTCAAGCCCGTGCAGGGGTCCCGTCCATCTGGGACTCGGCGGCCCAGCATCGGTTCCAGCCCGGAGGGTTGAGGGGGGGGTGAGGTCTGAGGTTCTGGGTGCGGAAAGTCTCTTGCCTTTTTCTGCATCGGGGCCGCTTCGGGCTCCTGGGCCGTCGCGAAACAGATCCGGGGAGGAATTTGCATCAGATGGATGGATGCGGGGAGGGGTCTGGGGACCAATTTTGAACAGATTTGCCCGCATGCCCCCCCCCCCGTTTTGACAGATTTTCTCGGGGCCAATCCAGTTCAGACCCCCTGGCCGCCTCCAAAGGAGCACGAGCGGCCAAAATTATCCATGCCCGCGCTTTCGCGGTCTGGATGCTGGGGCGAGAGCCCGCGGGTACACGGTCGCACGGATGTACGTCTCGCGCAGGGCATCCGCAAAACAACGCCCCGTATCAGCGAGGTCGCGGCCCAGGGGCCCAGGAGGTGATGTGTTTTTCGCCCGAGGAGCACTGTCGAGATGCGCAGACTTTAGTGGGCCCTGGAAAAGGCAGGGTAGTCTTCCGCCGTTTCTCCAGAGTTCCTTGATAGTGGAAACGGCAAGTGCTATGTTCACACTTTGAAGCGAAAAAGTCTGGACCGTCTGGGATCCGAAGGACGTTCGGAACCTGTTCGAAAACGCGTCGGATCTGGTCAAAAAACGATGATGTGGACCAGGAGCCCCACAAGGAAGCGAACAACAAACGGAACAGATAAATCAACGGCGCCGAAAACGTCAATCAAGAAGGCGTTGGGAATGAAATCAGCAAAACAACGAAAATCGTAAAGCACAATGGCCTTGTTGTTTCCAGGGCCACTCAGACCCAGACCCCCGTCGCAGTTCCAAGATCAGGACGGATGGTGTGTAGAGTGCTCGGCCCTGGGGGGCCGCTGCCAGGCCCCGGGGCTGTCAAAAACGGCGCAGGATGAAGAGCCCGTCTTGGAGATTGGGTCGAGGCCTCCAGGGGCCCACGACATGAACAAGAGAACGGGACGAAGATCGACAGCGGTTCCTGCTCGCTGTCGGTGGCGCCGCGGACGGTGTCCACCTGGGGCCAACAAGTCGCCTCCCCAGCGGCGGCCGTTGGGGCCGGGCATCAGCCAGTTATAGCGAATTTTGAATTCCGCCTTCGCATGTGTTGCCGTTGTTCGTCTTCGTTTTAGCTTCAGTCGTAAGTCATGTTTCCGGTCTAGTTCAGTTTTCGAATCGGCCTTAGTTTTGTTGGCTGCGTAATGGTAGTCATCCGTCGCGTTCAGGTCCGCGCTGCAGGTAACCTATTTCAGTGTGAGCATTCGCTTTCATCATTGAGCCCGCATTTGCAGGAGTGTCCGCGCTTGCCCACTAAGCGATTTAGTGGATTGGCGCCTCGAAGTGTGATGTTCTTCCAGCCTGTAATTTGTGTTTCAGCTTGAGCCTGTAATTGATCTTCAGCTTCTGAGCTCGCTTCAGATTTCGCGGTGGTTTGGATCTGCTTCCCTAACCGGTCACGACGGGATCGTTTGGCAGACGCCCTGCGTGCATTCTCCAGCAGACGTTACCCTCCATTGGGTTGGCCTCTCTCTTGTCGCCCCTCCGCGGGGCTGCAGGGGACGCCTTTCCCTCAATGTTCCCCCTATGTCGCCTCCTCCTCCCTCTCCAGATCAGTTTCCTCGCGGCTCATGTTCATGGTGCCCAATCCTCCCCATCCCTCCTGGCAGTCCCAGCGGATCCCCCGACGCCCTCCAAAATCCCTGCCTGCAGAGCGGCCCAAAACTTGCCAGAACCTTCGACGCCCTCTGAAGGCTTTCTTTCGCCCCTCAAAAGAAAAACGTTCTCTACATGTTGCCTCGGGGCGCTGCTGCGGCGGGAGGCCTTTCCATTCTTTCCTTCGGATGCGTTTGGCCCCCCGCGTGCTGGACTCGAGCCTGGCAGCAGGCCGCCCTGCACTCGGAGTGTGAACACATGACTTCACCGATGTGTTCTTCTCGTCTTCGGCTTCTCGGGATTCCTCGTGCCGGGGAAACATACGTCTCCAGTTTGCGGGGCCTCGTGTTTGACGCCGTTTGTTGACCGTCCCAGCGTGGATTCTGACGGTCCGGCGTTTGCCGGCTATGATATTTGCATCGCAAGTTCGCGTCGAGTCTCAGACTAGGTCCCGTCATCTTTCTGACGGCCCCGTCGGGCAAGTTCGCGCCCCCAAGAGCCGAGCCTGGTCCCCGATCGTCGAGGTCAGTTGTCGCCACGGCTGGATTCGCATCGGAGGCCTGGTTCAGGACGCTCCCTGCGAGAGGTATGCGGAGCGTCGTCGATGTCATCGTCGGCGTCCACAGCATCTTCTGGCTCCAGCCATTCTGGAGCAGGTGCCTCGTACGTCGACGCACAGGATGTCCGCGCAGAGCGCCGGAGCCACGACAAAAGAGGGACGGAGGAAAGGAGAAGGACGTCACGACGAGAAGGGCTACGGAGGAGCGGAGAAGGTCGAGCGGCTCTTTTTCACCGGGGCGAATTTCGAGACGTCAGAGCAGAGGTTGCGGTCGTTCTTTGCGGCGGCTGGCCAGGTGGAGAAGGTCGTGCTCTTCCGCCTCGACGGCGCGCGGTCCGCAGGCATGGGCCATGTCGTGTACGCCACGCGCGAGGGGGCCCTGAACGCCTTGGCCACCCTTCACAATCGCGTGCTCGAGGGGGCGCCAGTCACTCTGAAGGCGACTGGGATGTCTGAGCAGGGTGCGGTAGACAGAGAGCGAGTTCCGCGAGGATCTGTAGGTGCCAACGGCGGTGCGGAAGCGCAGCGGTCGATGAGCAGCTCAGCGCCTGTGCAGGCCGAGCGTGCGGTGGTGCCCGCCGGCAGTGGCGGCAGCAGCGCGAGGAGGAAGGCCGGCAAGGGCAAGCTCGGTGCCGTTTCCCTCAGGACCCGCTTGCTTCATGGCGAGCGGGGGGAGAAGGAGGAGGAGGAGGAGAGCCCGGCGGCGCAGCAGGTATCGGGCAATCGCAGCGCTGGCCGCGGGGCGCGAGAGCCGCGGGACAGCGGCCCGCTCTGCAGTGAGCTCACCATCGTGGTGCCGAGGAGGCCCTCGATCCCGCCGCCCGGCCTGGAGCTGCTCTGCGGCAGCCAGGAGCCCCACAGTTTGCTGGGGAACTGCGCGATGGAGGAGGGCTTGGGCGAGTTCCGCAGGAGAGACAGCATGGGAGGGGGGTATAGGGAAGCGCGGAGGGCGAGAAGGAGGGGGAGGACCAGTGCAAGCCCAAGATTCATCAACGATATTGGAATACACCCTTCCTCCAAGATCCCTCGCAACAGGCCCCTACAAGGTTTCATTTTCACTGAGGGAGTTGCCCCGTTAGGGGGCAAGCGTGTAAGAATCCTGAAGCGTGCCAAAACAACATTCCCACGACTTACACGCCACGCTTAAACATGTTTGTAAAGTCCTGGCGATCCTGACAATCATGAATCTGGTCAGAAACCGCATTTCTGGTATGTTAACCATGAGAGTCCGTGCCATATTTGCAACTTTTTAGAACGAATGTGCGCGGCGCCCAGGCGAGCGCCACATGTTGAAAAACGCGCGCCATCAATCCTTCCAACTCGTAAAAACTTGTGACTCGAATGCGCGCGGCGCTAGGGTGAGAGCCACATTTTGAAAACCACCCGCCCACCATCTGTGAAACTGGTGTAAAGTTTCATGTTCCAGGGTTATAAGTGGTGAGGCCGTCTCAAGCGAAACGCCGGGCCCGCTCTTTCGACCGGTTTCGGAGTGCGACAGTGAGGATTTTTTTTTTCGGGAAAGGGGTGGACGTGGAGGATGAGGAGCAGGAGCAGGAGCAAGAGGAGGCGGAGGAGGAGGGGGAGGAGGAGAGTGAGGAGAAGGGAGGACGAGTAGGAGCAGGAGCAAGAGGAGGAGGAGGAGGAGGAGGAGGAGGAGGAGGAGGAGGAGGGGAGGGAGAAGTGGAGGAGGAGGACGACGAGGAGGAGGAGGAGGAGGAGGAGGAGGAGAGGATCGACTGCTCCCTCTCGTCCTCGTTCTCCTCCTCGTCCTTCGTTCCTCTCGGGAGCAGGAAGAGGATGACGACGAAGAAGAGGATGGATCAAACAAAGATGACAAGCCGCACCACGAGGAGGAGGAGGAGTCAGTAGGAGGGCGGAATGGCAGCGAAAGACGAGGAGGACGGAGGGAGCTGGAAATTCGAGAGGGGGGAGCCCACCGCCTGCTCGCTGCCTGCCGCCATCCGCGTGATAGGTCGTCCCCGCCGTCTCGTAGTTCCCCCTTCCAGGGGCCGCCAGGGGCTAGTCCGCCCCCTGGAGGACGTGCTTCTTGTTTCCATCCTGCAGGATCCTGGTTTGAACAGTCCCCTTCACGGGCGGCTGCCCCCCTTAGCAGCGTCGGGCGGCGGACGGTTTCGGACACCCGCAAATGTTTTCGGATGCTGTTTTTCGGTTATCGTAGGTTTTCTGGCCTCGGGGTGCTCCCCAACGTCTGTGCCTCGCCTTGGAGTGTTTTGGGGATGCCCGGATCGCCCCGAACGGCCGCCCGAGGGCCGCGGTATGGCCCGAAAACCACCGATCCTCCCAGATTTCCACGTGGATGACTGCGGGAGTTGCGGAGGGGATGGGGGGGATCAGTGAATGCGGGTGACAGATGGCCAAACGTGGCTCCTAAGTGGGGAACATGTTGTGGCCGAGGTGTGTTGGATCACTCCTGCGAAGCAGGCGGAGCACGCGAAGCCCGGATCCTTAGCTCCTCCAGCCACTTGATTCGGGCAGTTGAGCCCCACTTCCCACATAGGGCACATTCACTTCAGCATCCACACTAATGCCCCCTGATATCCCCGCAGCAACCTCCGCGGCAATCGCTGTAGAACTCCAACTTTGTGATTGTTCACGAACTAGACCCAAAAATGGACGACCCCTTCTCAACCCCTTCTCAGAGACTGGTGTTTCACCCCAGGCCAGTTGTTGTCTGTCATGGGGCCCGGTGAGGACCCCCAGAAGCCGAAAATTGCCAGAGTATTCCCGCCGCGGCTGTTTCTCGCAAAGCGAAGAAAAAAGATGAGGTCTGGGGAGTCCATGCAGGCGTTCTTTCAGCTACATGAAGCTATGGACCTGACATTCAGGAGCTGCCTTTAATCCAGGAAGTGCCAGATGATATGATCACGCAGGTAATATGAGGTGTCCAGGGAGATCCAGAGTTGGAGAAAAGGACGCCCCAGTCCGTACAACTGTCGAGCAAAATTGCGTCGATGGCAACGAGCGTCGAGGAATTCCACGCGACAACCATAACTTTGAATAGGAGCCAATTCCACGCGACAACCATAACTTTGAATAGGAGCCAACTTGTAACCGTGCACCCGCTAGAATGTTGCAGCGATGTGTTCCATAAACATAATATATATATATATACGCAAGCGAGAAATACATGTATTATGTTGGTTGTTACAATGATTGAAATGCTTGCGGCGCTAACGCGAGAGCTCCATTTTGAAAAGACGCCGCCTTTCATCCCCGTAGCAGCTGCATACTTGTGTAAACTCAGATCCACGGCGCCAGGGCGACAATCACAGTTTGAAGACATCCACCTCCATCGGTGCAGCTCATTGATGCAGGTTTTCAAATCGAACGCGCGTGGCGCCAATGCGATAAAAACACATTTTCAAAACGACGTGTGCGCCATCCGTGTGCGCGCGGGAGTTTTTTTTTATTCCCCCGACCATCCTGTGGTATTGGGTCCTCGTTTTGAAGAGACAGCGCCCCGCGCCACCTCACTTCCGCTGCCCCCTCCCTCCTCCTCCCCCATCATCATCGTCATCACCAGTTTCAGCACACCCCTCACACGTTTCGTGGCCCCATAGCGAGCCCCACAGAAGGACACCCATCACACGTCCCCACAGGGAGCCCCACCGAAAGCCCAAATGCCAGCGCTCGCATGCTCCCATCGCACTCATTTGGAACACCGTTCACACGTTCTGCGGCCCCACAGGGGGGCACACCGAATGCCGAAACGCCAGCGTTCGCATTCGCCCACCGCGCCCATGTTGGCATACCCTTCACACGTTCCGTGTTCCTACAGGAAGCCCCACAGAAGGCCCAAACGCCAGCGGTCGCATGCGCCCACCGCGCCCATGTTGGCATACCCCTCACACGTTCCGTGGCCCCACAGGGAACCTCACAGAAGGCCCAAATGCCAGCGGCCGCACGCGCCCACCGCACCCATGTAGGCACCCCTTTCACACGTTTCGTGGCCCCACAGGGAACCTGACCGAAGGCCAACATGCCAGCGTTCGCATGCAAGCACAGCGCACCCATGTTGGCACACCGTTCGCACGTTTCTTGGCCCGAGATGGAGCCCCGCCGAAGGCAAAATGCCAGCGCTCGCATGCGCACACCGCGCCCATTTTGGCACACCCTTTGCACGTTCCGTGGCCCCACAGGGAACCCTACCCAAATGCAAGCGTTCGCATGCGCGCACCCCGCCCAGTTTGGCACGCCCCTCTCACGTTACGTGGCCCCATAGCGAGCGCCACCGAGGGCCCAAATGCCAGCGCTCGCATGCGCCCACCGCGCCCATTTTGGCACACCCCTCACACGTTACGTGGCCCCGCAGGGAGCCCTACCGAAGGCCCAAACGCAAGCGTTCGCTTTGCGCCCACCGCGCCCATGTTTGCATACCCTTCACACGTTTTGTGGCCCTACAGGGAAACCCACCGAAGGCCCGGTCGAACGCGCCCACCGCACCCATGTAGGCACACCCCTCACACGTTTCGTGGCCCCACCTGGAGCCCCACCGAAGGCTCAAATGCCAGTGCTCGCATGCGCTCACCGCACCAATTTTGGCACGTCCCTCACACGTTTCGTGGCCCCATAGCGAGCGCCACCGAAGACCCAAATGCCAGCGTTCGCATGCGCCCACCGCGCCAATTTTGGCACACCCTTCACACCTTACGTGGCCCCGCAGGGAGCCCTACCGAAGGCCCAATTGCAAACGTTCGCATGCGCCTGCCCCCCCTTCCACTGTGGCGCGCCATCGCACGTTTGGTTACCCTACAGAGAACCCCACCGGAGGCTTACATGCCAGCGTTCGCATGCACCCACCGCGCCCATTGTTGCACACCCCTCGAACGTTTCGTGGCCCCATACCGAGCCCCACCCAAAACCCAAAAGCCAGCGTTCGCACGCGCCCACGCACCCATTCAAGCACACACCCCACAGGTTCTGTGGCCCCAGAGGGGGCCTCACCGAAGGCTCAAATGCCAGCGTTCGCATGCGCCCACCGCGCCGATTTCACACGCTTCGCGGCCCCATAGGGAGCCCCACCGAAGGTCCAATTGCTAATGTTCGCACGGGCGCACCGCGCCTATTTTGGCAAACCCCTTACACGCTTCGCGGCTTCATAGGGAGCCCCACCGAATGCGGTGCATACAACGACGGTGCCCACAACTGCAGATGGTTGGGTTCTTCACCAGGATAGTGTGTATATATATATATGTATTTATGTATTTCTTTCACCGCCCCCCCGCGGACACAACGCACACACATACACATTCCACAACCACCACCACAACCACCACCACCACCACCACCACCACCACACTCACCACTCGTGGGGAGCGGGGTGCGCGGAAGACAGGGGACTCTGATGCTCACGCCACCGCGCGCTACAACATTGCATGCGTTTTGCATTTCATTCGCCTTGCAACACCCGTCCGATTGCACCTTCCCCATCGCATAACATTCGCATTGCGTTGCAGTCGCATTGCACTGCATTGCAATCGCGTTGCATTGCAATCGCAGCGCATTGCGATTGCATTCCATCGCAATCGCATTCCATTGCGTTGCGTTGCAGTCGCATTGCGTTGCAATCGCGTTGCATTGAAGACGAGCGTTGCAATCGCATTGCGTTGCATTGCGATCGCATCCTTCCTCCTCCCTTTGTGGCCGCCAGGCCTGGAGGGGAACCCACCTCCCCTCCCCTTTCCCTCCCAGGGCCGCTTCCTTCGCATCGTACCATTACTGTACTGTCGCGCCGCATTCGTATTGTAGCAGTGTGATAGTAGTATTATAGTAGCACTCAAAACGTATGAGGGTGCGATTGCAGCAGTATTGTAGCAGTACCGTAGTAGTAGTCGCTGTAGCAGCGCAGCAGCAACAGTAGTAGTAGTAGTAGTAGTAGTAGTAGTAGT